ACCAGAAGCGAAACGACCCAAAAAATGAAACGGAAAATCGCGATAACATCGGAATAACAATCGAATCGCGATTGAGTTTCTCAGTCGTCCTCTCGTCATTTTTACATCATTTTGACGTCATCGTGATTTCTCGTTCTGCCTGGAGGACGCGGTGAGCGACGCTTTCGAATTCTTCTCAATCTGCGCCCTCGAATGTTTCATCCTCCTGTTCGAACGCGAAAAATACGGAAGAACGAGGAGAGCAGAATTGAGATTATTGAGATATCATTTCTGTCGCTCGTGGAGTAACACATAGTGTTGAAAATAGAGGCACCACTTACGTGATGCACCGCGAAACTCGTGTATCAAAGTCACGTGTACACGTACACTGAAAATCGCCCGTCCGTAACGCACGTGTACAGTGGAACTCGCGTGCGTTTCGGCTCTTCGGTCACTCTTTCGCGATGTTCCACCACTACTTTCCGTTTCTCTTTCTCAGGTGATTAAACAGCTTTTCAAGTAATTAAACATTTCTCTTTTCAAGGTAAAGGAAGAAAATCGACGCCCGCGAAACGACAAAAAGCGAGATTTTGCGGAAGGATAAAACGTAAAAGACGAATAAGAAGCGTGCACTGAGAGAAAAGACTAGTAACTATAACAAACTGCATTTAGTTATAAAAATTCATTGAATCCTTAGTAACTAATACTAAATATGATAATAATTATCAAATATTTAATAGATCGGAAATATGACGTAATTGCATTCACAGTAACATCAATTAAATAATTTAGTAATAGTTACTTAATGTTAAATATTTAATATGAAATATATTACAGTTATGAGCAGATATTTGATAATTATTATGAAATTGTTATATCCCATGTAATAAAAAATTCAGTAGGTACGAGTTCTATTTTGTTACCAGTATAAGTATGTTTTGTTGCAGCACAACGAAAAATTCATTCATTTGCAGCTATTACATCGTTTCAATATCTATTATTACAGATGGTTGGTTGAACCTACCAAAAATTTAGTAACTACTACAAAATCGCTTATTTTGCTCAACTATTCAATAAGTTTTATTTACCAAATATATTCTGGAAGCAAATAAATTTTACTTCTGTCAAATAAGTAATTTATTTTACAGAACTAAATTAATTAATAAGTATTGCCATAGCTTTGGCCCGCTATATTTACGTCTATCATTTAATAATAGTAGCCAAATTTTGATAATATTTACTAAATTCTTCTCTCAGTGTGGTTATTAAAAGAGGTCGTCAACAGAGAGTATCTTATGATTGGAAAAGAAAGGAATTAAGTGAAATCGAGAGAAGATGAGGCAGTGTTATTTCACGACATTGAATCTCATGAAAATTGGAAATCGACCTCAGGCGTTTACGCATAAATTGTGAAACTCTACGTTTACGTGCAGACAATGTAAACTACACGAAAAAAAAGGTTTGGTTGAATTAACCAAATATCTGGTCGAATATGAACGATCCAGAAATTCCGACTGAAGTAACTCGAATTCTGTTTAAGTTAACAAGATTTTTGGTTGACTTAAACAGAATTTGGGTTACTTCAATCGGAATTTCTGGATCGTTTATATTTGACCAGATATTTGGTTAATTTAACTAAATCTTTTTTTCCGTGTATATATAGGATATCCCTTACTATGATAATAAGTAATCTATAAATATTGTTTAAAGAACGTATGGCTTCAATTAATTTAAAAAATAAAAAAACAAAAAATGAATTTAAATTTATATTTTTCTTTAACTTTCAGAATCTCTATGTAAATTTCGGAATGTTAATCACTAAACAACTTATAAGTTCGGTTGTTTCAACTTCTTGATAAATTAATTGATAGTTAAATCATATGTCTGTCTCTGTCTAAATCGAAGGAAAAACAAAGACAGATATATGATTTAACTATCAGTTAACTTACTAAGAAATTGGAAAGAGAACAACCGGCCCATAGTTTACCGAATTCTCTAGAATTCGCAGAATTTATATTCTTACCTACACACAGAAAGTTGAATCTACTAGTCTGTCACTTAATGAAATGAAAGTTTCGTGCTATTTATCTCTTTTAAACATTACATTATATTTAATTATTTAATATCCAGAACAAACAACATTGTTGAAATTTAATTGCTCCTTTTCGCATATTTTAATGTAATTTGCATTTATGCAGTCTACACGAAAAACAACCGCGTATACATTACATAGAAATTAATTTTTTTATTTCACACACAACGCGTGTCTCAGAGCGATAATTCTTTCGAAGAGAAGCTTCTTGATCGCCATCTAACGCGCGACCGAGTGAAACCGAGTGGTTGATATGGAAGAGAACTGCCGCATGATAACGTGAGTTATCACACATCAAGATTAATTTGCGAGGAGTAAAACACAGGAAATCAATCTACATGACATTCGATACTTACAGCGATGTCTACTATTAATATCCGAGAAAATCGTCACTTTGTAAAATCATTTGCGAAATATATAAAATAGGAGATACTACGTTGCATACAATTCATCTCCAGACCACCGATTGTTTACAGTGTTAAATGTATCAGCGTGTTCTTCGTTATATCTTTCGCGGCGAAAATCGCAAGGACGACTCGCGAAAGGCGAACACGACTCTTGGGAGGCAACGGTGTCTGCTATTGCAACGAAGGATAGTCTTTATCAACATGATTAGTCACGTGCGAGACGTATGCTCGACACTACCAGCATCGGCTCACCGCGTCGGGGTTCTCGGGAAGAAAGGCGATAGCCGGCGTGGATCCAATTTTGTCGGTAGATCGAGTTTCCGCCCCTTCGCGCCGTGCCGCGTGTGTGCGTGTTAGTATAATATAATAATAGAGTCGCGGGCGAGACGATAAGGAGCGCCGTCGCGTCTGCAGACCCCGATCCTTCCGAGAAGAGTCCTCGTTTTTGTCTCTAAACGGCGATCATATGCCCGCGAGAGAGCATCGCGAGAATCATCGGCGCAGGAGTGGGAGGAACCTCGCGAAAAAGGGAAGAGAAAAATGCGGAGAAAGAGAAAGAACATGCGAATTGACACGCATCGACGTAAACCGACACCGCGAGCTCAAATTCGCGATCGTTTCTCCAGACCAACTTGACAATAGCCCGAAGATATTTGATTGTCTCTACCTTTTTTCTCGTCCATTCTAATTTCTCGGACGAATAGAATGAATATTTCATTATGACGTGTTATGTATTTACATGTGCGTGCATGTAGAACTTACAATTGTGACGGTAGAAATCGAGAAATCTCCGACTTGCACACTCGACTCTCATAAAAACGGATTTCTCTCTCTCCTTCATTTAATTTACCCCTTTCGCAGAGATAACCGAATTTCACGGAAGATTCCGCTGAATCACGCTTGTCAATGCTTATTTTATCTCGCACCGAAAAAAACATGAGGTACGTCTGGACAGAACTCAGGAAAACGCCGGCGTAATAAACGCGCCTCTTCGAGACGTTCTTACTGCTCTCAGGCGCGCTGCTTCTACGTTTCTCTTTTTGAAATGCTTGCGTCGCCTCGCGCGAGGAACCACATTTTATCTAATAAAGAAGCTTCGACATCGAGCGTAATCGAGGTTACGATGCCGCGATCTGGAAGAAACCGACGCCGCGAGGAAAATTCCGATTCGCCGTTACGTAAAGATTTTGCTTTGCAAATTTAATACTTCCGTCGACGTGCCGTCGTCGATGTATGTAACGCGGTCGATTAATGATCGAATATAATGAAACCGCGCGTGCGATTTGTGTAATCACGCGCCGATTGTTCCCGTCAATATGCTCGACCGTCAGCCCGTGGGAACGCGCAGAAATTCTACGTCGTATCAGAATTTACACGCGTCAAGCTGAACGTGATATCACACGCATCGCGTGCCCGAAACGGCACGGCGCGTGGCCACATATATGCATAAGAATGTGTGAGCGTGTATGTGTGTGCGTGTGTGCCCGTGAACACGGTCACACGTGCTAATATAAATATTTCTTGTATATTCGTGATGTTGCGAAAGAAAGAGAAAGAAAAAAGGAGGAGAGAAGGTGGGCTTCTCCACGTGGGAAATTAGGCAAGCCAGAAAAGATTGATAGATAAGAGTTCTGTCCCCTCTCAAGCTCTCTCCTCGAAATCGAGAATTGTTTCGACATGATACTTTGATCACTCGTATTTTCTTCGTTATCTAGCTGCACCAGCCTTTATTACCTGGCTACAACAGCCTTCTGTGCGCCTTACAAGTGATTAGATAGACAATTTTCCTAGTATAAAGCGATATAATAAGTTGCAATACTGGATACAAGAGAATATAATGTTTTGATACTCTATTTTATGATTTAATCGAAAACGAAAACAGAAAAAGAGGGAATAATGTAACAATATTTTCGCAAGGAATTCCGATATCACGTTTCCGATCTCACGCGAGGACTGGAATTTCGCTCACGATAAATCGCCCTTGATAAACCGCTATTTTTATCAATTTTGTTCTTTTTAATTAAATTACTTATTGCATATTTCCGTTTAATAATAATAGCTTAATTCAAAATATCGACTGAAATACTGCTGGAAAATAATCAGACAATCACGCCAAACGCGATTCTGCTCAAGAGTCTCATAGCTTGAATTCCCCTCCACCCTCCAAAAAAAAAAAAACTAAAATATATAATTGCCATTACTGAAAGTTAAAATTAGATATTGGAGAAGTATTTAGAGTATTTCAAATATTTACTAAACACCGCGATGATACGTGACGTTTGCAGTAACGATTCTCTGATTATCTCACGATGTATTGCGATAAAATAAAGTTTAAGCGGCGTGATGTGATGCTCTAAACTTTCTGTTATTAGGGCTACTACGAATTTCGACGCACGTGTATGTATACGGTCGAAAATCACAGTCGCCAAGCGTTTAAGCACATCCGTGCACGTCGCCCACAGGCGAACTAGGACGTAGTCCATTATACGCGAGGACGATCAAAGACCTCAGAATGTACTCACCGTCAACGACATTGCTGTTCGCCAAACGTTGAGCAACGGTGATATTGTCCGCTGTGTTAGTTGGGGGCGCGAAGTCCGGATCATCCTCGTCGAAACATAGGCCTTCCTCGTAATCCGTCAATGTTGTCTCCGTCATGTTCTGCCGCGTGTTGTAACAAAGGTAGCTCCGCGAGTCTGAAACATCGGCGGTTAGGCACTATATGAAACATACGAAACACGCACACCGGGAAATATCCCGCTCGCGCTACAAGTGCGCAGAGCAACGGAAAAGACCCAGGACCACTTGCGAAATGTAGTCGCGAACGCATGTGGCGCCGCGCATGCGTCAGTTATCGAAATTTTTGAATTTCGAGTCGCGACGCCTCTTCTTATCGTCGATACATCGATCCTCGTTCGAGACTCACAAAACAAAATGCATACACCTGCTTTCAAAACGGCTTAAGCACTTTTTTCTCGATGTAGCTGGGAACGCAGTCGACGGTCCAACAAGAGAACTTAACTTCTGGAAACTTTTCGAGGACAAGTTATCTCATTAGACCACTGGCTGCGTTCCAAACTGCATCGAGAAAAAAGTACCGAAACTGTTTTGAAACAGAGTGTATACATACATACATATATTTACTCTTTCTACGTCGCGTACTGAAACTTCGAGACTCGGATAATATCCCTTGATATCATACTATATCATTTAATTGAATTGATGTGAGAGAGAGAGAGAGAGAGAGAGAGAGAGAGAGAGAGAGAAAGAAAGAGAGAGAGAAGGAAAAAAGTATAGAGAGTATAGAGAAGGAATAATATAACAAAAATTTTCACAAGGAATTTCAATTGGACCCCTTCCAGTCGGAAGGTGCACTTCATCGAGTATTCGAAAAAGTACGTTAGCAGGCTAAAGTTAGACGACTCTGTTGTGCGCCGAAGGCATTGAATTCGCGGATCCGAGCGTCGTTCGCTCGGAGCGTCCTCGGCCATGTGAATTTCCATGGGATAATCGCGCGCGCGGGCGAGATTGCGTAATTCCTTACCTACGGCCGTCCACGTGAATACTTCTTCACGCCGGCGTTCTTGGTTACTCCGCGCGCGTTGTCCCTTGTAACATTCGCGATGATCGTTTCGCGGAAGAAATCAGTCGTCGACGACGTGCGTTGTTCTCTATACGACGATACGGACGTCACGACAACCGGCGGTCGACTGACACCTGACGCGCGTTATCGCGCGCGATGTATTTCGACGCGTGATGCGCGTCGGCAGACACCGTTTCTCGTTTACTTACAAGAGAGAGCTTCGTGACGCACGACGACGACGACGACGACGACGACGACGACGACGACGGCCGTGCTCGCAGAAATTGCTGTCACGAAACAGCTCAACCGTACAATTTGCTATTGTAACAAATGAGAAGACACGCCTCTCTTTCTCTCTTGAGCGTGATGAAGAGAAAACGTAGTTGTATCGCGATGTCACACCTAATGTTTGTGTTTATCTATAATAAAATCCCGGACATCTGTTAAAGTTTCACTCGCAATATAAAGCTTATATCAATAGACGTTTCCTGAGACTTGCCTAATATGAGACGTTCAGATTTTAATTTAGAAATGGAATCTAGAATCTATAAAATTTAGAATGTTGGGTTTGTTGAATACATTCAGTCGAATATATTCGAGTTTTTCAGTCGAATTGTATATGTGACATTATATATACTCAATTCAATTGGAAAGCTCATGTCTAACTTTAAATTCAAATCTGAATATTGTATTTGAAACATGGTTCAAGTAATGACCATTAAATAATGTTCTGATGGTTGATTTTTCAATATAGAATAGTTTAAACTTATACATAAGTTTATAAACTACTATCTATTATAAGTAGTAGTTAAGTAATTATTAAATACTATCGAAAAATCGGTCCTACGAATTCTGAGATGTAAAAATCTTATACCTTAACTATGTATAATTCTTACATTTACTCAATCATTTTGTTAAAAAATCAATGTACGTTAGTTTTTTTTACCAAAACACATGTAATATTAAATGTGGATTAATATATCTTGATTATTATTAAAGCATATATTATAATTCTGTTAGAAAAATGAAAATATATAGATGAAGAAGGATAGAAAGGATAAACAGTAAATACAATTTTTTGTATGATATAAATTTAATTCACAATAAATATGTATAATATATTAAATAGGAAAAATATAATTTTATAGTATTTTATATCACTATCGAAAAGGAATAATAAGAAGAAGGATAATTGTATGATATAAATTTAATAAGAAGAAGGATAATTGTATGATATAAATTTAATTCACAATAAATATGTATAATATATTAAATAGCAAAAATATAATTTTATAGTATTTTATATCACTATCGAAAAGGAATAATAAGAAGAAGGATAATTAATCTGAAATATTTAGAGGTATAAAACTTTAACTTTGTCAACCAGCTAATTCGAATCACATATTTTCACAACATATTCTCACATTCTGTTCTCATACGCCGCCCAAAGCTGCTTCTTGTACTCTATGACGGCCCCCAGCTCGTCACTCGTTTCCGTGATGCCTCTACCAACTACAACCAGATCAGCGCCAGCGCTCATAACAGACTGCGGATCATTGTATTGCTGACCAAGCTCATCGACGCCTCTGGTCAGCTTGACCCCGGGTGTCAGCTGCAGCAAACCAGGCGACGAAAAGAGATTTGACTGGCACACGACACCAATCACTAGGTCGGTGGCATCCTCCGCCAGCGACACGGCATTCTTCGGATAGTTATCCTTTGTCAACGCGTCTTTGCATGACATCTCGGCAACTAAGAAGACACCACGATGCTCTGTAACGTCCGGTGGCAGACTCTTTTTCAGTGCATCGAGAACAGTTTTACCAGACACGGCATGCACCGTGACTAGATCTGCCCATTCAGAGATCTTGTAAATGCCCTTGTTGTACTGCAGCGCGACCGTCTTGCCAATATCGCTAAACTTGCGGTCCTCCATCAGCAGAAACTCATGCTGCTTCGCCAACTGCTTCAAATCCCGCATAAACTCCTTATCAAAATCTTCCACGATATCGATATGAAGTTTTAGCACAACGATGTGTGGTCCCGCTAGATCAGCTATGTGTAAAATCGCTTTTGCTTCTGTGAAATCCGCCGCCAGACAGAGGTTGGATTGCTTTTTCTCCATCAGTTTCAGCAACCTCGAGGCTAACGGGTTTTGTGCTAGTTCGGCACGTTTGTAATATGACAGTTTCAGTCTATTCATCGGTAAACCTGTGAAAAATGTACTTTATATACTCTGATAATGATTGACATAATAAATGTGAATTTATTGAGAGAATAACCAATTGATTAAGAGAAAGTCTTCGTTTTATAAAGAAAATATATATAATTATCATTTCAAAAAATATTAAGAGTTAGACAATTATTTATTAAGCTACTTCCCAGTAAATATGCATGTCTAAAAGATGTCGAAAAGATATCTAAAAGACGCCTTATGCAACAAAATGTTGCATAAGATATCTTTTAGATATCTTTTCGACATCTTTTAGACATGCATGTTTACTGGGTTTTACATAGACTGTTATGTAACCACCATTGGAGTGTTTAAATGTTTGTACTCTCAAATTGGAAAATTAGATGTTGATATAAGATGTCATCATATCTTTCGACTTACTTAGAGGTGGAATTTGTACTTGATTAGATCTCATGTAATTGTTTACATCATGCATAATTTGTTTTGTGATCTTCCCGGCTTCGAAAAGATATTTCATAAATGCTGTAACTGTAAATATGCTTTTGACTTCGATATCATGATTTTCCAGGTTATATCGGCCGCCTTGCTCTCTATCTATTATCACCAGTGCTTCCGTCACAGTTAACTGTTCCTTTCTCAAAACATTCACGGTCTCTAGGATGCTGCTACCACTCGTGATAACGTCCTCAATGATTACACAATTGTCACGAGGTAAATATACACCTTCAACCAGCTTCATCGTGCCATATGATTTGGCCTCTTTCCTTTTTATTAGCATTCGAATATCGTTCTGTACAGATATCAGTGTAGCTAATGGCAACGCTGTATATGGCACTCCACAAATTTGGTTCACTTTGTTTGTGGAATGTCTTCTAAGTTTCCACAGTGCTTGTGCTAATACACCCTGTAAAAATAAAACAAATAAATGATCAGAAATAGTTTTATCTGTATAAAGAAAACGTTTTTCTTGAAGACAATTGATATTCATTTTAACAAGACCATGTTTATTGAAAGTAGATAATATACAACATATAGCTAATTTTATCATGTTAATAGTTGTTACTATAGCTTTTATTTTTATTACTCTAGGTAAGGGATATAAATATGATTACTTTATAGGCTACTATATATATTCCACTTGTTTCTTTCCACTTTGTTTACTTACTATGATCGTTGGATAAGCTATTATGACTCGAAGATCAAAGTATATTGGTGTTTTTATACCAATCTTTGTTGTAAATTCTCCAAATTTTACAGCCTTTATATCATAAAGCATCACAGCTAGCTCCTTCCTTATTTCTTCCATTCTGTCTGTAATTAAAGCAACACATGTTGGAACAAATTTGAGAGTACAAATATTTAAACACTCCGATGATGGCTATGTAACAGACAGTCTATGCCCATACACAAATCTTCAAAAAACATTCTAAAGACATTCTAAGGACATTCATACATCCTAAGAACGTCCAAGAACATTCTCTGAAGATTTTGTGCTCTTTGGGTGTAAAAGTAAACCTAGCTTAATAAATAATTGTCTAACTCTTAGTACTTTTTGAAATGATAAATACATAAATTTTCTATTTTCAAGTGTTTGGTACAAAAATTGCTACACAAAAATATGCAAATGTGGTGACAATAAACCTGAAAAATATATATGTTTAAAACAAAAAATATTGATAGAATATTATAAATATTCCAAATATTATATCACACTTAAAAATTCTCACTAACACTGGGATTCGAACTTGGACCTGAGACACCTTTAAATTATGAGCCTATTGCTTTAGACACTACACCACTTTTTCGATTGATATAAACGTCTTATATTTTATCTATATATGTTACAATTAACACAGTAATATGATTTTTTTATATTTAATTTTAATAAAATTATATTTTTTCGTACTTTTGTTATTAATTTAAGCCTTAACTAGTGAGGTGAGGTCTACGAAACACCGCAAATTCCATTTTGGTCTTAAAATTTTTATTATTACATTATATACACGTCGAATTTACGAAATTTACGTGGATGGACATAACATGATTTCATAAATTATTAAATCTATAGCGTAATGAATCATAATCTGTAGTTGCAGTCAATTGCAACTTGCGCAATTGAGATGCTCTTCTATTATAATAAAAGCTGTACTGTCCAGATCGAACATCAAATCACGTTGACGTCAAAATAATGTCAAAATAAGAGAATGACTGAAAAACTCACTTTTCAATCACGATTCATTTTTCTATTCATTTTGGCGTTATTGTGTTCGTTTGTTCTACTTGGGCATGGGGATATGGCTAATATGAAATCTACGTTGATATTTCGAAAATGAAATACTTCGATTTATCGAAGATAAATGAATGTTGCATCTATATCGATATTTCGTGAATATATCCATCAACGTAGTTCACGTAAATTACATGGATTCGATGTGAATACAACCCAAGGAGCGCCAATGCACGTACAACGCGCTTTAAATATGCATTTTAATTAGCATTAAAAGCGCATATTTGTCCCGCATTAAATTCGCATTATGGCAGCGCATTCAAAAAAATATTTTTCGCGTATCTTGTTCGCTGGTATTCTTGCGAATTTATGTTTCTACAATGTTTCTGCAACATTGCATTGCAATATACAATATTGAAACGTTGCAGTAATGTTGCTGCAAGCGTCTATGCTGTATGTGCGAGTTGTTCTTTCAACATTATTTTTTATTAAATCAATGACAAATATTGTTAAATCAACTATAAATATGGCATTCTGTGATATTAACATTTCATTGACGTGAGGAATCTCATCTGGAAAGCTCATCTGGAAAACGCACCTAAGAAATCTAGACGAAATATCCAGTAGAAATCCCAATCCCAAAGGGTGTTTAATTGGAATTTTTCAATAAGAAGCACCCATTCTTATATTTCAGTAAATATGCATAAATCTCTTAAACTAGTACAACCACTTCACTAAAAAGAAAAAAACTTTAACTTTTTGTACCAGTAAACATCAATTTAGGAAGTTTTACGAAAAAGAACAGATCTTTTGTAAGCAAGCAATAATTTGTGATTTAACGATGTATGTAAAAAATTATTCATTCATTTTATAAAATTTCCCAGTAAACACAAAGTAACAGTTATACACCTATTAGTTGTAATTTCCTACTCAATAATATAATTGTTACATAACACACGCGTTATATAACAGTTATATTATTAAGTAAGAAATTACAACTAACAGGTATATAACTGTTACTTTGTGTTTATTGGCTTATTATTACGAAATGCGTAAATATCATATTAATTTTAAACACACAATTAATGCGGTTTCGAAGCCAATACAGTTGAATGCGCATTAAAAGCACGTTATACGCGTATTGGCGCTTCTTGGTACGTATTTGTTTTTGTTGGGATATAATTACGTGAAATCTATGTTGATATTTCGAAGATGAAATACCTCGATTTATCGAGGACAAATGAACGTTACATCTATATCAATATCTCGTGAATAAATGTCCATTTCACGTAAATTACGTGGATTCGACGTGGATACAACGTACTTGTTTTTATCGGACACTTGTTACAGAGCGCAGTTGGGCTTGGCCAGAATTCAAATTTACACATGTACGAGCGACCTCGAACACGTGGCAATCAGTCTGCGGTAGAGACTGGGAGACAGAGAGCTAATATGTACCGGTTATGAAGTTTAATTAAAGTACGCGGATTAATGGAGATCTTGAGCGTGAAGCTTACAGCCTTTAAAGAGATAATTACTGACTTACCGACCATTGTTCAAGCGCAAATATCAACGTCCTTTTCGAATTGCTAATAAATTGCAGCCGATTACCTTCGCCACAAAGAAAAATCTAAGAGTGGCCACGCCATACGTTTTGGCCGACACCGATTTTCACGCTGTTCGATGCGCCATCTGCACCCATTTTTGAGGTGGAACTACGTTTCCTTCGCTCATTTTCACACGCTACCGGTAAAGTACCGCTAACGGTAACATGGACTGTTTATCTTCTCAACCACGTAATTTTGCGCTTAGCACGGACACGAATCGCCAGAAAATCGCGTAGGATGCACACGCAACAAATCGATACTTTACCGGCAGCATCTGAAAATGGGCGTAGGGAATGTAGTTCCACCTAGAGATGGGCAAAAAGAATCGATGTTTAGAAAATAACGGTGTTCGCTCATTGAAGATAGTATTACATGTAGAAAAAATATTAGGGTCTCTAGAAATTCTCTATCCGACAGCCAATCGGTGCACGACTCTCTAATTGAGAGGGAATCCGCTGAAAGGAATAAGGGCGAGTTTTTTAATTCATCGATGGATCCATCATATGATGTGCAAATACAGCGTTTTACTGCATTTGCGCATCATGCGATGGATCCATCGATGAATTAAAAAACTCGCCCTAACTTCTTATGGTTGGCGTCATTTGTAAATAAGTTAGAGCAAAATAAAATCACAGATCTCTATACTAAACTAGGTTGCCAACAAGGGCTTCGAACGTGTGTCGCGTAATGTTTCCGGATTCATGCGAGAAAATGGCGGCGGTCTTGTGTGTGGGATGTTGTGTGTGTGACGTGTCACTTGTGTAAGTACTTACACGTACAATGTAAGTCAATGTGGCCATTAAATTATTGTAAGTCAATGTAGCCATTAAATTATTGCCATTAAATTAAAACCAAAAATGCTAGCATTTTATTACATCAAAAAATGTTGTAACAAAAAAATAGATCGTATTGGACGTTATTTGCTCTATTCATTTTCAACAAAAGAATTTTATGACTAAACTAGTGAAAATATGTGGCGGTAGCGGCCATTTTCTCGCATGCACCGAGAAGTCTATCGGACACAAGCCGTTATATGCTTTTAGATAGACTGTTAGCAATCTAGTTTAGTATAGACATCTGTGGATAAAATATACTTGTCTCACTCTTATTCAGTAGTGCAGCTTTTTAGCTACACTACTGAACTGGTGCAATAAGAGTAATGACTTCTGCACACAAGACGCGGTAATGTTTTCCGCGCGGCGAAAGTCCGCGCGACAGCCAATCAATATGTTGTTTTCCCGTAAGAGCTAGAAGGTTATTACGGAAAGCAGCATATTGATTGGCCGTCACGCGAACTTCCGCCGCGTGGCAAGCATTACCGCGTCCTGTGTGCAGGAGCCATGAGACATTATATTTTATCTTGCTCTAACTTATCGCTTTACAAATGGCGCCAACCATAAGAAGTTATTCCTTTCAGCGGATTCCTTTTCAATTAAAGGACACCAATTAAGACCACTTTTTCTATCCTTATGAAAAAAATACGAAAAAAACGCTCAATTTTGGGTGTAAAACCCAAAAAGTGGAGATAAATACCTAAATTTGAGTGTTAACACCCAAAATTGAGAGTTTTTTCGTATTTTTTTCATAAGGGTATTTGCGCCCTATTAAGTTCGATCTCCTTATCTCTTACTTCATAATCACAATTATTACTCGTGACAGCCGAAATTGGCACGAAATGTATTGCGCAGCTTTATCTGTGTGTGTGAGCAGAGGAATCCTCACATTCGGAAACTAGTGGTTTGTTCTAAAATTCATTGCAGAAGTTGTGACAATCTTTTCTGCCCGACTACATAAACGTTTACTGAACGTTTTAGGAACGTCTATTTTAAACGTTCGCAGTTGGACATGTATGGACGTCCGAACAGACGTTTCGTGAACATCGTTGAACTTACTAGGTAGTTTAGGTATAAACATCTGTGCTCCAGGCACATTTGCCTTATCTACCTATTCCTACTGTTCCGTTCCACTATTTCTTTCTCCATAGAGACGTAGTTTTATGAAATCGTCCCGTATCTAGCAAAATTAGTTTCAAAGTCTCCGCTACGAGCCGCCACTTTCCTATTGACTAATTAAAGTCATAGTACAACTTATAATAAGTTGATCGAATATTATTTTCTAATAACACCATTGAACGGCGCGAACGGACATCGTTTGCGAATAAGACGATTCAACTATCGTTTGCAGTCTTTTTATTTTCAAACAGTACACAACTGAATGACAGGTCAGTGATCTTTTATCTTCAAATAGTAAATGTGAAAAGGATGGGGAATAAAAGCAGCGCATTTGTATAACTGCATGTGAAATGTTATTATAAATATTAAAGTATAAGATCACACAGGGATAGGAAATAATTAATAAATTACACGGCATGACATTACGTTTACAGTGTAACACAAATATATTTCATTTTTATTTGAAAACGACAAACACATCTAGAGATCGCAACGCAAACTTCGCGCGATCGCAAAACACATACTTTGCAAGTGTGTATGTGTTCCAAACGGCATAGATTTCCACAGAAAATCCTAAAAATGTTCTAAGAACGTCCCTAAAATATTCCCTGGAGATCTTGTGTTGCCTGGGTGTATGTATGCAATTGTATATGTATGTATGTGATTCACGTGTATGTGTGTGTATGTGTGTGTGTGTGTGTGTGTGTGTGTGTGTGTGTGTGTGTGTGTGTGTGTGTGTGTGTGTGTGTGTGTGTGTGTGTGTGTGTGTGTGTGTGTGTGTGTGTGTGTGTGTGTGTGTGTGTGTGTGTGTGTGTGTGTGTGTGTGTGTGTGTGTGTGTGTGTGTGTGTGTGTGTGTGTGTGTGTGTGTGTGTGTGTGTGTGTGTGTGTGTGTGTGTGTGTGTGTGTGTGTGTGTGTGTGTGTGTGTGTGTGTGTGTGTGTGTGTGTGTGTGTGTGTGTGTGTGTGTGTGTGTGTGTGTGTGTGTGTGTGTGTGTGTGTGTGTGTGTGTGTGTGTGTGTGTGTGTGTGTGTGTGTGTGTGTGTGTGTGTGTGTGTGTGTGTGTGTGTGTGTGTGTGTGTGTGTGTGTGTGTGTGTGTGTGTGTGTGTGTGTGTGTGTGTGTGTGTGTGTGTGTGTGTGTGTGTGTGTGTGTGTGTGTGTGTGTGTGTGTGTGTGTGTGTGTGTGTGTGTGTGTGTGTGTGTGTGTGTGTGTGTGTGTGTGTGTGTGTGTGTGTGTGTGTGTGTGTGTGTGTGTGTGTGTGTGTGTGTGTGTGTGTGTGTGTGTGTGTGTGTGTGTGTGTGTGTGTGTGTGTGTGTGTGTGTGTGTGTGTGTGTGTGTGTGTGTGTGTGTGTGTTGGACACATTCCCATACAGCACCAAATATCTGAAATACATCCCAGAGACGTTCCAGAGACAATGTGATATCTCTAGGATGTCTCTGGGATGTATTTCGGACATTTGTGCTGTATGGGATACATACACGCACTTTTTCTATCCTTCCAATATACACTCGCTTATGTATATGTTAAAATTATTAATAACCTCTATTCTGATTAGTTTGCAAAAACAAACAGTAAAACGTAAATATACGACGCGCGAATCGATGAAAGATACTTAAAAAGTAATAAAAATGAAAAACTTGGCAATGTCAATAATCTTTTATATTATTATGCTTGTTTTCCAGTTAATTATCTTCGTATTACACGTCTGGTTTTTACTTAAATTCTGGCTATTCCATTATTAAATTTCTAATCCTCAAATAATTCGAATATACTGTTACTCATCATGCATTGTCGTTCTATTTGCCGCTTTGCTGTTCGTTTTTGCACACAAAGATCCGAACGTTATTAATAACTGCGAAGAGAAATTAAATCTTGATGGCTAATACAATACAGTCAACGTAGCGACCGACATGATCATTCTTCGATCAATTAATTATGATAATTATCGTAAAATGACACGGTGAAGTACTGTCCAGCCTGTTTGAAAAACTTTAATCGCGCGTGAGTCGCGACTATTTATGCATGTAACATCTTGTAAAGTCTTGCAAGATGCAAAATGTCTTAAATTATTAGACGGCGTGTGCACTCGAGAGTTTCGTTGTTGCTTCTCGAATGTGTCTATGCGCCAATTCTGCCTAGGAAAAAAAGAAAGAAAGAAAAATCAGAACAGCAAAACGCTCGCCTAACGAAACTCTTCAGTACGTGCGCAGCCCGCAACCTGCGTCGAAGTTGTCCTACGTAGTTCCGCCGGAAATAATCGTTATGTGTTGCGTTAGTATGATCCGTTTATCGTCGATGAATGCGCGCTTTTTATAGGCCGTTACATCGCAAGAGCAAGATTAAACTATCTTGCGTCGTTTGGCTATTGAGGGCTTCGGCTGATCGCAACGTCCCCTCTTCGAAGAACGTCTTCATTGTCTGTCATCGTTACCTCGGTGTCCTGTGACTTCCATGTCTTTCTCTTTCTTTTCTTGCGGAACGTCGCGTGTTCGTTTTTCGTTACACTCGACTAGATCAAGGATCGATTTTTTCAGCTTCTTGGAAAACTAGCAGCTTGGTAAGCCAACTAGTAGATTAAATCATACGTTTGTCTTTGTTTTTCTTTCGAATTAGACAAAGACAGACAAATAATTTACCTGTTTTTTAGCTTATATAGCTCAAGAAGTTGAAAAAATTGGTTCTAAATGGACTCATTTTCTAATCGGCCTTATATTCTCACTTTTTCTCAACTACTCTCTCTCTCTTTCTCCTTTCTGTCTCTCTTTCTTTCTTGTCTAACTTTCAGCAGCACGCTTCTCAAGAGCGAGCGCCTTGGGACTCTAAATGCTTATAAATTCTATGTAAATACAAGTACAATATAATTAATCTCAATTCTCAATGGCCAAGTCAATTGGATTCTATTCGATATACAGTAACTTTCTAGATACTCCGCTATATTTCTATTTTTCTTCTTTTTCTTTTTTTTTCTCCAAAGTCCGTATAAACCCTGCTAAAGTCGCGCCCCGTTCCGTTCCGGTCGGCGGCGCTAACCGGGTGGCCGATCGAAAACGAGGTGTATTATTTTACAAAGAGATACCTTTACGGGGGGATGGGAAAATTCTATTTTCCTTAATTGTCGTAATATACGTTCCGCATTATAAGTAATGAGTTCGAAGTCGCCCTAGCACACAGTTGGTTTATATGACCTTTTATATATGAATGGAGAGAGTATATGAGAGTATGTATGAGCTTTAATGATAGTACTTTAATAGCATTGTTCCACACTTCTCTTCTTCCTCGGATAAATACAGTTCTACTCTGCATTCGATTGGCCACCCATTTCTAATATCGCTTAAACTTAATCGTTTGAATCGCATCGAACACTTTTCGACGTATACCTGTAAAAGAAACTGACGGGCTCTGTCGTTGAATGCAACAAATGGACGATAAATTTATACACACGAAAAAGACTGTCCGAGATAATCGAAAAGATTAAATTCTAACACTCGTAATGACGCCTACTACGTGGCGAGGAAGAGCAATTACAAGAGAATAATTATCTAATCTTCGATCTTGCATTGACCAAATATTTAAAATCTCCCGAGCTATGACTATACATCTATCCGCAAGTAATTGACGTTTCAAGAGTGCAACAAGTTTAATAACATCTTTTGCAACTTTTCTTATAAGTTTTCAAAGACATTATTTTATATTAATTTAATATAAACGTCAATTAAAACACATCTGCATTCGCTCTGAAGTAGTGATACGCTTCGTGTATCACACGAGCGTCACGCGAAAATGTGTTAATATACTGATATTTATTAATATAAACACTAATTTAATATAACAAAATTAATATTATATTAATTTTGTTGATAGATTTGACGATATTGAAATTTAAGAGAGCACGTCAGATTCTATTTACATTACAATTTACGTCAGAAAAAGATCGATCGTCATCTTAGAAAGTGAAGGAGAAATAATTGGCTGATTCGTTGAGAATTCATTGACGACGGTTTTTTTTATCGTTAAAAGAAATATTACTTTCAATATGCCGGGAATAAATCGTTATCGACAAACCCGTCCACTGCTTTGCCTCATAAAAAAGTTCTTACGACTATTCGTTTACTCATCTAATTTGAGGAATAGTTTAATTGAGGCCTGTACATTTGGCGCATCGTCAGCGTTAGAAATTAATTAATCTTCGTGAGTCACAAAGTTGTGTGTCACTTGTCTCGACGAAATTATCTTCTCAAAATTGCCCTTAGAAGTCAGAGAGTTTCAATATAGCAAAAAATTGCACGTTAAATTATTTAAAAGAAGAAAATATCTCGCGGCTCAACAACAATCAAGATCGAGTCAAGAGATAATGTCCAATTAGTATAGAAGAGACGTTACAATTAAATATGAAACATTTCTAAAACAGCTACGTAAAATAGACATTTAAATTGCACGAATAATTAGACATGTGCGTCAACAATAACTATCATATCTATAACAGATCTCGGGACAATACACATTGTCCTCGTAATAATAATTAATAATTACGAGCGGTGCTCTAACGTGACGTTCTAATCGTTACGCGACGCTACGTCGCTCTTCGATAAAGTCTAAAAATATATACAAATGTAATTAAAATTACACAAAAATTGCGAAGTTCTCAAAAATATGATAAATAATATTTGTTTGATTCTCACTCAGCTGACGACTTAGCAGAGACAATACCTTTGTTAATTAGATAGTAAATATACGATAATGTGACTCTTCAGAGATCTCTGCAAAGTGTTCTGCAAACTAGTGTATAAGGTGTTTCACACAATATCTTCAAATATCTGGAAATATCTCGGTTTGGCATAGCCTCAAGAAACTATGATGTATATTTCTCTCGGAATATCGTTTGTATTGTAAACTAACGTTCTAGTTGTTCGTACGTTGCTGCTCGAACGGATATGAAAATCAACATGTGCGACCGTCAATCACTGAGTACAAAGAACAGCAATAAAGAGAACGTCGATGTATTTGGACTGCCAAATGGCTGTAAAAAATAGGCCCATTCGTAAAATATGCAATCGTAATTGGGAATAATTATACGTTACTCATTGAATTACAAAAATTAGATAAATGTCAATCAAAGTAATCTAAGCTAGTCAGGTGAATTTTTATGAAAGCACAAGAGAATCAATTTTTTGATCAACCGATCGGGAATAAATTCAACAAATGATCACTCAAAGTCCGATGGACTGCAACGACAAAATGATCACGTCTTCATAGAGACTGCGTCTCTTTATCTCTGCTCTGGAAAGAGCATTAATTGCGCTTGAGAATCGCGCTTGAAAAATGCGCTTCGAAGCATCGTTAATTGCTCTGTGTGTGTTGCCTCGACGATCATCGTCTCAATTTCACGCGCGTGCCTCAAAACAACGCATCGCGAATCAAGGGTCGTATACGCGAGAAGATCCCTCGATGATCCTTCGTGCTTCTCGTTTTCAACGACCCTCTCTCGATATCAGGACAAAACTTGCCTGGAGGCGACCGCGAACTCGTCTTCGCCGCGCTCCAAGTCCTTCCAAGTCAACTCGTCGGCAGCCGTTGCTCCGAACACGCCCGGACTTACGGAAGTCGATGTCCTTCGTTCACGAGGAACCGTTCTCAACGATCAAGATCGCTTCCCGACGTCCCGCTGTGGCTTATTCACTCGACATCAGCTGCACGCTGTCGTCCGCCGAGCGATGAAGTCGTCGAACTTCCGACAACGAGCGAATCGGCGTCGGATGAAGTAACGAGAATGGATGCGAGTGTCGATCTGAAAGGAAAGAATCGTTTAGTTGCAGTAAACGGCTTTCTTAGCTCCGTACGCAAAAAAATACATACGACATTCGATATTTCATAAATTTATATATCCGCAATTCTATCGCGTGAATTCACTATAAGCATCAAATTTATTCAAAATAAATACGTACTACGTCTTAATAAGCTTGGTGTTTCAGTCAAAAATATTAAATTAAAACAAAAGTTCGGCTTGCTCATTGCATACTAACTTTTTCTTCGGTAAAGTTTTATCATATATTCTTGTAAACAGGATGAATTCTCTATTTGAGTGCATAAGAATGAACTTTTCTCAAATTTAAGAGGAATATATTTGTGGAGACTATTATTGAGAAAATATTCTTTGTTGAAGGTAACTACCACTTACAAGAAGAAAAGTAGACGCTAAGTAAGCAGCAGAATGATATTTTTCCGTGTGCGTCGAGTCGCCACAGGGGACTCCCTAGGCACTTTATGGATTAATTTCCGCACACGCGAGTTCTCATTTGATCATATACAAAATTATTAATTGGATAAATCACAAGATGTATAAATATATTATTAATTTGGAATATACCGGCACAAAATTGTATAAAATGAAATTCTGCGGACACGATCAATTAACTAGGAGATACATTTTTAAGCGATACCTCACAAATGTGCGATAATATCGTTTCGCAGAGATAGCTAATGATAGCGAGTCGTCATATGTAGCTTCTATAATCGCTCTATCGATCCGGTGGCTTCAATAGCACAGAAAGCTGTAGCGATACTTCCCGTCGGCCGTCCCACCGAGGAACCTTAATTTATTCGGGTTAAAAATAAGGAGAAGGCAGAGCGTGTACACGCGAGAAAGAGAAAGACGGGAATCGCGCGTGTCCGTAAACGCAATGCCAAGGTCGGACAAGTAAGTATCTCTCTCTCTTGCAAATGGATCGATTTGCCAAAGCTCCGATCTACATTTCCATCGCGCTATGCCGCGTGGCATGGGGAGCCGGCAATCTCATCGGGACACGTGGACAATCTCACGTGCCCCGACGAAATGTTTCAGACGCGCCTCGTGGTCTCGACTCGTTTGGTTAATCGCTCCTTTCCGTGTCTCCGTCACGCGCAATTTACGACCACCAGAAACGTAGTTTTTTAAGAGAATCCGACTCTAGAGACAGAAAAGGAAAAAAAAGAAAACAGGAGCGGCAAGTTTCCTCGAGTTTTTTTTTTTGAAATTTATTCGCAGAGTTTTGCGGAACGTCGACGAGCATTCTCACGAGGAAACGCTCACCTCTGATGTCCGTCGACGGTTCGCTCCTGGAGAGCTCATGCTCGTTGCCGCGATGCGACGGCGTCCTCGACGGGCTCTTAGACGGTGGCACCGTGTTGCTGTCGTTCTTGCCCGGGGTGATGGTCGGATCCTGATGGGGAAAGTGGAAAGCCGTGGAATTGGGCCAAGACGCCGGCGGTGGACTGCGCACCAGATGCTCGTGTACCTGCGCGAGTGTCAAAGGATCCGCATCGCCCAATTCCTGAAAGCACATGTAGTTACTACCTCGAGAAGGTTGAAATTTCGTTTCGTTACTCGACAAGAAGACCTTGACATGACGCTTATTACATATGTGTGAACTGTATTAATTCGATTTAAAGTTCCTCGCAAAAAGAATTTACATGTATTATAATATTATAACATTTTATAATATTTCGAGACCGTGTATTAAAAGAATTTTATTCCGAGAGTGTGCTAAAAAAGAGAATTTTATTTTATTTGCTTTCTTCCTTTCCTTTCTTCTCCATTTTTTAAATTCTTTCTTACGCAACCAAAAGAGAAAGAGACTGAGATCTGCCAAGTTTTTATTAGACCCGGAAGTTTGATCGAAGTCTTACCTGCGACATCAGAATCGCATCGTCAGACTCGGACTCCTCGATCGATTCCACGAGGCTCTCGCGACTCGCTAGTACCTGAATAATTAGAGAAAATTTGCACAATCGCGTCGATATATTGCGGAGCGACACGTACATTAGCCGTCGCCATGGAACAAAAGAACGCGTTATATCGTATTAACGACTCACTGAACGTTTCTGCAGAAAAGCAGAAAAGTCGGACGACCGAAAACTAAAACACGATGTTTTTCTGCGAGCATTAAGCTTAATTAGAAAAAAAAAGAAAACTACAGGGATCTAAAAATTGCAAAGTCGCAAAGATATATGAAGATCACAAAAAAATTACAAAGATAAAGTCACGCAGATAAAATAGCATTAAATTATAAAATAGCAAAATTATAAAGACATGTATATCTTAGCGATCTAATGTCTAAAGTTGCAACAAAATTGGCACACATCAAACTAACATTTTGCAATTCAACGAATCGTTCCGATAATTTCGCGAAATCGAGCAGTTTAATATCCGACGATCGGGTAATAATGCAGCAATTGAAATCGAACCTGCAGAAAAGGATTGTCCTGACGACTCAGTCTGAGCGCCTCCATGTCCTGATCGATGTTACGCGTTCTACCGGGTGTCAAGGTCAGAATGGAGTGCGATGGTGACGGCTGACAGGCAACGACAACGTCCACTGCTGTCACGCTCAAGGTTGACGGAATTCGCGACATAGTATTGTCATTCTCGAAGCCGTTCCGACGACAACCAGTGGTGATGACCGCTGAAAGCACAAGTGTCGCAGGTGTGTCATTAATCCCCGGCCACATGTGACGGAATCGTGTCGTCGCGAATATCTCCGGGATTATACAATCGAAGAATCGACTTACCGGGAGTTTCCACCCTGGGCGCGCGCTCCATCTCTTCGTCCTCGTTAATCTTCATCCCTAACGCCAGCTTCTTCGACTTGAACAGGTTCGTGAAAAAAGCCGCACCTTTACGCTTCACCCGGTCATACCTGAGCGCGCTCTCGGACGACACGTGTATCATAATTCGTCTGAAAGTGTCGCAAACTGTGAACACCGTGTCATACAACGTGCGATACCACCACTGCATGCGGTACATCCTCGGACGACACGTGTATTATAACTCGTCCGGTGGGGTAAAACACACAGCAGTGTCTCGCTTGTCTCGCGCGATGTTGTTATTTTACAAGTCCACAAAAACGCGCGTCGAAATCGTGCAAAACATATTTTCACCAACACAAACGGATCTGTTTTGCTCGAACCGGTAGTTTAAAGGCGTAACGCTGTATTATTATATTACCATTGTTATTATTATTATCGAACATCTTCCGGTCGATCCGGGAATCGACGATGAATTTACTTGTACGCGATCAGCAGAATTCAAAGATTAATTTGCATACTCAATACAATGAATACGTTTCGCTGGTGGAATGCCGTACAACGGGACGCAATGTACGATAAAAAAATATTGCAAATCATAACCTAGTAATATCCGGTCGCTCAATCGAGCACATCTTGAAAGAGGTGCCGACTTACTCAGACGCGGACTTTCGGTTTCTCTCTTTCTCTTTTCAATCGCCGCAGTTAAACAACATCTCCATGGCAGGGCATGGAACTCGTATTTTTTGTCAAGATAATAATATCGATCTCATGTTCGTCGGGAAGCGACGACGACGCTGTAAACAACAGACAGGTCGTGTCTCTCGCGATGCAACGCGAGCGTGAAAGGTGTAGCAACTGTTAGAGGTGTCACGAGAGGATCTTCCTCGATTTTGACAAACAGCAACTTGAAGCTCGCAGGCCGAGGCGGCGAATACTGGCAACTGCAGTTGCAGAAGGGTGTGCACCTGCCTCTTGCAAGGAGCTCGCGCAGCTGCAGCTGTCAGCGGATGCACGGGGCTTGCGCGCGAAAGGCGGTGGAAAGGCGGCCAGGGGGTGGCTGGGGATGGGTAGGTGGCGGAAAAGACGAGGGCGACGGAGTCCTTAGAGAACGAAACCAAGTGTCGCGTTATTCCTCTTTCTCTCTCCTTTTCTGCTCGCTCGATAGACACCTTTATGACCCATATTTCATGTTTGCTCGATTTACCAGGCGGGACTGTTTGGGAAAGAAAAGATAAAAGGGCACCGGTCGTATCGTGAGTCCGGGTTTTCAAGTGGAGCGGCGACAGAATACGATTTGTCCAGCTCTTTTCACGTTTTTGAGGGGCAGACTAGCGCGAAAATTAGATTTGCTATTAAATGTTCGATCTTGGCTGACGGAATTCCCGAGAAATTCTCTTTCGCTATATGATTTTTGTATGGCATCGATAACGGACAGTTGAGATAAAAATCACGACGTGTCTTCAGTATAAATCAGTAATCGACGTCGGGAGACAAAACATCGGGGGGTCTTATAAGTTGATCTTCAAAGATCTCGAGATAATATGTTGTACATCGGGTGCTTCAGGAAAACGAGTACTTTTCCAGGATTGCGCCACGTCGTGCTTATACGATCGATCGCTCTACGAGGGACTGCGATATACAAGGTGGCTATAATTCCGAGCTATAACGTTTGTTGGTGGCGCGAATGTAATAATTGAAATTTAAACGACTACGCCTACATTAATCATGATATTATTAGTGCTGTAATCTGTGTTATTCACACAGGAAGAGACTGATTGGCTGCGTTTCCTTCCGACCATATAAAAGTCTGATAAAAATCGAGCACATTTACTTTCAAGAAAAATTGAGAAAAACTTACAACTACTGCAACTTCAATCACGCGTAAATTATACCCGGGAAACCCGGACGGAAACTTTAATCGAGCGAGCCAGCTGACGCTTTAATCTCCGGCAAAAATTAAGTCTACTCATTACGCTAAGCCAGCATTCGATAAGATAGTGTTACTTATTTACTTTCGCCAGTCAAAGCGGCACTATTTTCATACCGTAACGACTTCGCAAGCGTGTTGACAAAACGCTGAATTAAAATTCCTCAACAGAGATTTAAAAAGCAGAAGAACGCAGGGTCGACCAGCCTAATCAAAGCTCAAATTACGAAACATCTGTCAGGATACACATATTCTCATCACGATATCTCATCATCCGTCGCACTCTTACGACTCAACGAGCCGCAAGCTTCGATTTTTACGAGAACTCAACTAATAAAGTCATTTTCTTCTCGCCGGGACAATCTATTACCACTTGACGCTCCACCCGATCTGATCAGCAATTACAAAGAGAGAGAGAGAGAGAGAGAGAGAGAGAGAGAGAGGGAGGAAGAGAAAGAGAAAAAGAGTGCAATCACCACGGCTATTGTGTTTTCTCTCTCTTTTTCTTTCAATATATAGCTACAGGCACCTAATAAGATCTCTGCTCCAACGTCACTCAATGTTAAAAGATAAATATTATGTTAAATTGGCAATGCCATTCTCTGATTAATAAATGATCCTTGATGTTCTTTGAAAATAATATTTCCAAGATATTTTTCAAAAAATCACAGATCACGTCCGAACAGGTTCGTTCTTATGCCACGGCAGCTTAAGCTGGAACTTGTACTCGTGTTCGCGACGACAAACCGAACTCGAGGACTCGATCGACCGACTACACACTCTCGATGTATCCTCCACAAGTTGGTTGATCGTCGAATTACCTGAAGGCTCGCGCACCTGCCGCCGGTGCATCTTCGTCCGCGACGCCGAACGGGTTGCGTCGCGTCGCGTCACGCCGCGCTCGCCGGACGATACGTCGCGACGACGCCAACAACAGGGTGCGGCGCGCAACCCCGACGAGAGGGTGCCCACAACGCCGGCGGTCCTACGCGAAAATCAAAGAAAACCGGCTAGGGCCGGCTCGCCGCTAATGCGCGGGCGCGCATCTCGCCGGGGGAAGCGCACCCTCTGCGTTCGAATTCGCGACGGAGCGAGACGAGATCAGGCATATCTCTATGAAAAAAAGGGGTACTTCTCCACGGTTGCTTTAGAAACGGATGTTGGGGCTGAGGTTGTCCATCTCGCGACTGGACACATTGATTGCTGCGCTGATTCTTACCGATTATCTCAAAGCTGAATCAAAATTCGAATTACCAGATAGGATAAACATCCTCAATTACTGACATACCCTGAACATTACTGAGATACACTGAAAAAAAGGTTACTTGAACATTTATTTGTAGAATATAAAGTTTATTTCTACGAAATAAAGTTTATTTCTGCACAAATAAATTTTCAAGTGCTTTTTTCTCAGTACAGTTATTGACCAGCCTCAGTCATTGACACTCTAGATAAGCTTGGTTTTTTCTTACTTCAGCCAGTGATGATTGTTCTGTTGTAATTGCGAAGTTGAAATAATTTCAACGAGAAGTTTAACAATGTTAGCCGCATGAAAGACCAGGTTTATTTCAATATTTTTTATAATTAATTTAATTTAATTTTTTTAAATACTTTTGTTAGCTCTCGTGGCTCTCTATCGGTTATATATTCAATTTGTTATACACAATAGGTTAATTTATTAATTACGTGTTAACGTGGTTTTTTAACAACAATTACTGTGGACCAGCGTCATTGATATGGGCTGGTGAAAGAGGATTTACCAGGATCGGATCAGCATGCTTTGAATATTTGTAAAATAAATCGGGTCTCTTCGAAGGAGCTTGTGGCTTGAGATAACTAAGAGAGTGAATTAAAAAAGAGAATTTGAGGTAGATATGCCGATTTATTCAAACCATTTGTTTACCTGGTAAATTTCGCCAAATCGCGACATTAATATCTCGTAAATTAACGTTCAATCGCGAACCCTAAATCAATAGCGCTAATTACAGCGCGTTAAAGTAGCACTCACGTGCCACGCAGCATCGATTCGCTGTAAACGTAAGCTTCTCCAGGTCATAATTGTACTCATTTGTACTTTCCTTTTTCTCTTCGCATTGTTAAGTTAGTGTTTTATCTGTAAGAAAACATTTTAGAGAGAAAGAGAGAGAGAGAGAGACAATGTGTCACCTCGGCTATATATCCTGCGTAATCAAAAAATAGAGAAATCGGACAATTCGTATATTGACGTGTTACTACGCACAAAATATATATATATATATATATATATATATATATATATATATATATATATATATATTCTCATCGATAATATAAAATAAATAATATATCACTCCTAAATAAAATAAATAGTATATATCTAAATAAAAAGTTACGTCTGGAGATGATGCACGATTTACGACGAAGCGACTGCGTGCATGAACGCTCCCTTTATCGCGCATAAATATTTAACACAAGACTACGAAGAAAAAAATTAAATAACAAAAGCGACCAGTGCGCGATCGAGACGGCGGCACGTAAGTACGGATAACATGATTTCCTAACCGAGCCTAGTAAGACAAAAGAAAGAAATGCACAAAGATTTTTTTTTTGTCTTCTGTGATAATTGGCATGTGCAATTTCCATTCCCTCTTTCATTCGCTTGATGTGGCGGTAAGAATGTGCTAATAATCGACCATACAATCCATCCTCGTGTACTTACAGCAAGCAATCAGCAACACTCGAGCTCCGCAACGATAAGGAATAATCATGATCATCGTAATAATAATAATCGTTAATGATAATAATAATAATAATAATTTTGTTAACGATATGTTAGCCTAGTCCGTATAAACACAGCGACATCGAAACATCGTTTATATTATGTATGTAGAAATTAATTCATATTCATGTATAACATATGTATATATATATGTGTATATATATACATATATATATATTATATATATATAATATATATATAAAACATTTGCAAAAAAATCACAGTTACTTAAAACATCTTATCTCTTCGCGCTATTTCTTTCTCGCTCTGTCACGCTCCTCTCACATTCACACACATTTTTCCCTTCTCGCATCGGTTTAGTTTTCGTTTTTAGTCCACATCATCGGGTCCGCATAGTTTTCATCCGTGTACCTAACTATCAAATCAATAATTTGTCGAACGAAAAGATCGTCGCGACCGATTTCGCGAGACTCCTCGCAAAATCTTCGTCTCATCTTGTAAGATTCATTTCGCAATTAATTCTGTCTTGTGGTTGATTAAAATCAATAGATACTCAATGTTCTAGTAACTCGCTACGCCTCGACAAGAATTTGGGAACTCTCGACTGTTTAATGATATTAGACGAGCGAAGGAGCAGAGTGGGGGGAAGGAAAGGGGGCAAAATTACAGAGGCCTATACTTGGTAATCAGAGAATTCTTAATGTTTCAATAATTCCCGACAATCCACTTTTCTCGAAGCTCCGTGCGATTCCGCAAGATCGAGCTTCTCTTAGAGATGTACCCGAATAAACAGTCTCTCAACGTCTTCGGAAATCAAGCCGATTGTTCGCATCACGGAGAATAAACCCAATAATGCTTTCAATTTCGAGCATAAAAAAGATCTTTCCAGAAGACAACCGTATCGAGGAAGTGGCAGCGTGCATCGATGATGGTAATAATTTAGGAGCTCTTAAGTACCCTTCGCAGTTTTACAACGCTTTTGCCACTGCGAGATTAAGATGGCTGCTCATGAAATGATTCGCGATGTTCGACGGAGTCGGGAAGTTTTTGAGAATTTTTGCACAACAATTCAGAAGTTCGCTGAGCGAAAGAGTTGGGCGACTTTACTACATCACTTTAAAACGACGAAGCTTAGTGGCGAGTTTCTAACGTATTAATAATTCACGAATATTATTCGGATCTTCACTTTCGTCAATATTAGAGATGTAAAAACTATTGAGTAATTTACGAGATTTAATTTCTCGCACTTCTCTTGTCTGAGACTATAAGTTGAAAATTCTTCGTTAGTTCATATACACATTTCTCTTTCTTTCTGTTAGAAAAGTTTGCTTTTGTAGTTAATTAGTGCTTTTAAGAGACGGGATTTATCCAAGCTATTTTCACAGTCAATCGCGAGCCCGAAAGTCGCTTTACAATTATCGTTGCTCGAAGATCAAACAATCGATTGTTTAATTACACGGCAGTGTTGGCACAAAGCGTAAATATTGGCTGTCTTTGTCGGAGAAGAGAATGAAAATTTACATTTAAATATACAATCCTAAGCACACCCAGCGTTTTTGTCCAGCTAAATCTGCGACACGAATCACTATGGCGGCCGACAGAAAGAATTATCAATACACAACTACCAACAATTCATACTTAATCCCTCAAATCGCTGCTTTTCTGGACGAAAAACTCAAAATGCGCGCTATAGAAAAAATATAGGTATAAAAAAATACATCGAAGCTGAGAAGCTGTACACCACATATGGTAACACACGTACCACGTTTCTAACGAAGAATGACGATTGCGTAAAAACTATGACAATTTGTAATCTGCGTTTCTGAGATAGTCGCGCTGTTTCGGGTAATTAATGGTTTATGTTCATTCTATCAACAATTAGCGATATAATTGCCAATCCTCGATAATCGCGACTCGCGTCTCGCCCGAGACGTTTGAGAGATTAATAAACGAAGAAACGAACCGATCAGTTAACTTTGCCGTGAGTACTTACGATTAGTCTAGAAATACCTAGAGTAAACTTTTACACGCTACCGTCCGCTTGGTAAGCCGAGGACAGAGAAGCCAGTGATGATGGCAGTAAACGTTCACGATTCGATTCGCCGAGAGTCAGTCGATTGTGAACATTACGGGATCAGAGAAAATATTATGATTCGTCGGTTCTGACCAACATCTCATGTCCCATCAGAATCCATTCTAAGAGTATATTCTATTCGTAGAATTCGTTGCTCCACATATTCTACGAGATAGAATCCGATAGTTCATAATCTAAGAGATAGAAAGACTGAAATCAAGTCTTTTTTTATTTCAATCTTATAATTGAAATTTTTCAGACTTTACGAATCCGTGGATTTAATTCCAAGACACAACAATACGAAGGAACGATAAAATTCTCAAGTGTGGAGAGCCGAAGTTCGTTGAGTTCAACGTTGAGTTTTAAACAGAATTAGAAAAGGTTAGCTGTGACCAGGGCGACTGGCTCTAAGCGACTAATCGCGAGAAAAAATGGTTGACAGAACATCGATCAGTAACTATTTCATTAGCGCTAAGGGGTATGTACAAAATTTCATATGTTACACGACAATTCCGATCCGTCGTAATTCAAGCGCTCGTGGAAAGTCAGTGTTGACCTGCGCTCGTGACATAACGATTATCTTTTCGTAATTCAGTCATTGCTGCGATTAGCGGTAAGAAGTCTGTGATAAGAGAGTGTACGTCAGATATATTTCTAGAAAGATTAAGCATATTCACAATTTTAGATAATTTAAGTCTAAAAAGTTTAAATAATCGAAGATCCAAGAGATTTTCAGATTACGAAATTTAATAACTGAATTTGAGTCTTGAAATCTATAAGCGTACAGTCTCTTTCTTTTTTTCTTACATAAAAAATTTCTCACGTAAAAACAAAAGTGCGAATCATCTAAAGTTTAATTTCGAAACAAAATGTATTTTTAGCTTGTGGCGTCTACAAGTCAATCAATTCAAAGATCTAAAATAGAAAAGTCGAAAAATAGAGTTGAAAAGAACATGAGTAAGCTATTAGAGAAATTAAACGAAATCAGGATTAATCTAGTACAGCTGGAAATATCAAGGATAATCGGTCAGCACTCTCTTGCCACGAGCGCTTTAATTATCACGCCGACGGATGCTCGGCAGTAAGGAATGGTTGTCGAAGAACTTCCCTTAGGAGAGGACGTTGACTTCACGGGGCGAACCGCAAACGTTCAACACGCTGTTGGTCGAATTAGGCGTAATTTGACTACGAGCTTCATCCTGAGCCTGTCGTATCGCCTCTTTGTACGGGCCGCGTTTCTTCTTGTTATACCGCGTCTAAAAACAGATTCACGAATACTATATGTAAGATTAGTCAACAATGTCGATAGTATGAAAGATTAATCGACATTGTTGATATAGTATGAAACCATTAGAATAAATTACAAATTTAATCTTTTGTATTTATCATCATTTATTTATCATCATTTATTTATCATCATTTATTTATCATCATTTAAATCAATATACCTTGAAGGTTTCGAGGAAAGGACTTAACTGGTCGCAGGACATTAGCGAGCTCGTGGACGATCCGTACCAAGCCACATGAGCTTGAGGACCAGACGAGGTGCCATCCTCTTTACACGATACTGTGATACTTAGAACCTGTACAAAACGTAACATTAAATTAAGCGTCTTATTCAGCAGATTGTTATCTTTAAATAGCGCCACAAACGTTTCAATCTACGAAAAAAAAAAACGACAATCGTCAGTATCAAATCTTAATTACACATTTAAAGAGTACAACGTTTCAGAATTAGTACGTACCTTGCCAGGCCACCACGGAAATCCATGGATCTTGCCCCACACGACATCGCCTACGTCCATCCTCCTGCCGTTAGCCGTGAGACAGTGAGCGACAGGAGTAGCGGCCAGTCGCATCACTAAAGGATGAGATTGCGGCGGGAAGTCGGGCGCTGTCTCCACTTCCGGCTCGTGCTCGCTCAGCTCGTCGCTACTGCCGCCGGAACTCTTGCAGCCGGAGGACGCGTTGCTGACAGGGTAGTCGCAACGCGCGTACGCGTTTGTATTGAGTCTTTTGAGCGATATCGACAGCTTCTGTTTCAGGCACTGCTCCTTGATCGCTCTGTAAGACTCACCACCCGGTAGGACATTCCAATTCTGCTGGTGCTGTTCCGTGGAATCCAAGCAAGGTTGTTCAGACTGTTGTTGCTGTGGTTGATGTTGCTCTTGCTGCTGGTTCTTGTGCTTCCGGCCTTCCTTATGTTTCTTTTTATGCTTCACCTTGTGCTTTCGACGATGATACGAGAGCGGATCGTAAGTAGGATTGTACCTAAATAAATCGGGATAGATTAGTGGGAAATTGTGGAAAATAGGAACGTGACTATACTGACTATAGTGTATACACTATACAGTGTAAAATGTGGCTAATTGAAAAATATTAACGTGACCACAGAATCTTAAACAATAAAATTGGATTTCTTTTTGTATATGTGCGAAACGGTTATAATTCTTACCTCGGTGATCCATTGCAAGGAGATCTCGCTGGTGACACCCCACCTAGCATTTTTCTTCTAGCCTCCTTTTTGGCTTTCTTTAAAGCTCGTTTGGCCGCCTTCGCACTAGCATCCTTCACACCCTGCTTTTGAGGATCCACTTGCTCTTGCCCGTCCTCTTCACCCTCTTCGTGATACTCGTAGTCGTTGTTAAAGGATCTAGGTAATTCCAGAGGATCCCTCTCTTGCTGCGTGTCGTCCGGATCGTCAGTCTCCTGTTCGTACTCGGGGTCCTGAAGTTTGGCAGGTATCTTCAGAACTGTACCTTCGCCTTGCGCACCAAATGAGATCTTGATCACCGGCGTAGTTCGAGCGATTCTGGTGGGATCCTCGAAAACAGACTCATCCCAGAGATCCTCCATCGAGCCTACCGAACGTTTCTTCCTCGGTATTCTGCCAGTTCTCAGTCTCATTGTCGAGTCCGCAGCTGCGAAAGTTTTCTTGTCCTCTTCTTCGGGTACTTTCGCACTCTCCACTGACGAACTGCTGAGTCTTCTTGGTGTGGCGCAATAAGCCATCGAGGGATTGCTGTCGCAGTCGGTGGACTCCATTCTTTCTTCTGTAGGTCTCAGGACGTTCCTTAGAGACGTCTCCTCCTCACCTCTGACGGGCCAATGCGATGGCTGCGCGCTCGCCGCGACTTTCACTTTGTCTGTAACAATTGTTTAGTCCTTGATACAGCTCAGAGCCAGAAAATTAAGAACCGCTTTAGATCAAAGAGATTAGAACAATACAAAAAGTCACAGAAACGGTAAAATTTATTCACGTTGATTCATTAGTTTAGAAAAAAAGATTTCTTTCGACTACTAATTATTATTTCGTAAGGAATTCGACATTGTCAAAGAAGAAACAGTAATAAGAAAAAAATCTCGCGATTAAATCGCCACAAACTGACAGCAACTTTCTCATTAAAAGATAAGTTATGAAAAATATAGTACCGGGGAATTGACCAGAGCCCTGTATGGCGTTGCTGATCTCATTAGGCTGTAATCTTGCTAGTTTCGGGATCAAGGAGGCCCCCATCTTCGACGAGTCGGGACTCGAGGCCGTTGTCTTCGTCGCTTGATTGGAGGTCGAGTTTTCAGCTTGGCACTCGGAAAGCAGTGTCCGTTGGGCCTTCTGCAATTGCTGACCGCAACGTCGGTCGCTTCTTCTCGTGGTACTCGCGACCAACTGGTCGAATTGCAAAAGAAATCATTACTCTTTGGCTCCCGTGCGGTACGTTATACAGGGTGACTCTTAAGCCAGAGATCAAGCATGAGAATTTTAGTTTTTTAATTTCTCAACTCAGCTGAGAATTTTTTCTAAAGCGAGCTTTCTAAGCTTTCGGTACTAGTACAGCAGGTTACACAGACACATACACACACTCTCTCTTTCTCTCTCTTTTAAAATTCTTCAAAGACTCCGTAGATGAAAGGGAGGACAGCCTGTACATTATTCTAAGCGGCACTTGCGGTACCTGCTGCTGCGGTTGCTGTTGCACCTCTTCATGCTTCCGCTTCCTGCTGACATCGACGTTCTCGCTATTCTCGTTGCAGATCGACCGACACTTGCTGCAGAGCACCTGGCGTGGTCTCAGTCTAACCGTGGGTCTCGCGTTCTTATACCTGGCAGGCGGATTGATGCTTCTGCGAAGATCGACCTTGGTAACGACAGCGGCCGTCGACGTCGATAACGTGCTCTTCCGTTCTTGGAAGTAGCTGAAACGTGCAGCGATCGTCGCCAATTTGTCACCATCGGGGCCTGGAATCGGCTCCGGAGGCTGAACACCGCAAGGAAGGCCTCTGCAACATAATTCATGCGTCATACAATTACTCATAGATCCCAGAATTTAAATAACTCCTGAAAAAAACGCTTAGAAAACATCTGAAAGATATGTGAGAAATTAGAACTTCTCTTTTATTAGACTTCTTGCTCAAACTGTATAAAAACTTATCAGTCTCTTGGGGAGATTGTATGTGTACATCTACAAAAAGTATGTATTCAATAAACATCAAGTAATATCAATGTTATAATCAATGTTATAAATTGTTATGTTTATAATTTCGTTATACTCAACAATATAACGTATGTGTTATGTAACAATTATATTGTTGAGTAGGAAATTGTAATATTGATGTTATGTTATTGTTACTTGGTGTTTACTGAGTGTATATTTATGATATTACAAACAAGTATAATTAATTCCTCCTATTTATATTATTTATTAGATTTATGAACGAAATTTACAACTATTTGTTTGTTTCTTCACGAAAAACACATTTACATTAGTTAATGGAATTTATCGCAAGTACCTTGGGTCTTAGATTTTTTCCAGCCTAACTTTTCTAAGACAACGCAATTTTTCCGAGCGTAGAGGCCACTTTTTTCCGCACACATGTCGGAAAATGGATTAGATCATTGTTGCGTCAATGCCTTCGGTCGAAACCGTCGGCGAAATGAGAATGGCTGGGCAAGAAGAGTATTGAGCAACGGTTTCGGGTATGCCTCAACGGCTTCTCGTGCACCGACAACGCAGCTATGTCATGGTATTGATTCGAGAGGAGCGTACAATGAGCGACAGTCTGACGGTATATCCATTAATATTTTCTGGGTCCCGATACGGGCAGACCCTCGAAATTCCGAGTCAGCTTGACGGGGAAGAATAATGTACGGAAAAGAAAAATCGAAAAGTAGCGAGGCTGCCACGACGTGAAAATGATTATGGCGAAAGATGTTCCCAACAAATTTTCAGCGGAATTCTTATCGCGAATTTGTTATCTTGATGATACTTTATTATGCTACATAATATTATGTTCTCTCTCTTTCTTATGTTTTTTTCATCGTAACGTAAGATTCGCTTTGCTTTCGAATTTTGGATCTCACACATTCGATTTAGATCTGAATTTGGATCTTGCTTAGACAGTTCGAGTCTCGGTTCAGTCGAGCGTCGATTTCGCAAACGCTTCACCTCGATGGTACTTTCCGTATCTTATCGCAGTAGCGCTCCAATTGTCTCCTTAAAAACGACAGTAACAACAGGCTCATTTCTTGAATTAATAAAGTAGACAGCTAACGGACTGTAGTGTAGTATACGTGGCTGTTTCTCTGCTTTGTGTCCACATACATACACAGTTTCAACCCGCAAATGGTGGCGTTCTCAGAGACGTCGACGATATTCCCTTTGTTCCTGACGAACACGAAACCACTATATTAGCGGTTCTCAACCTTGGATCCGCGAGCGACACAGCTGGGACGTGTTTTGGCTCGCGTCGGAAAGATCAATAAATACTGTTCTTCAGCCTAATAAACTCCGTGTCCTTGGACTACCGTCCACTAATTCAGTCATCGATTTCAAGTCAATCTCAATAAAAATTTTACGGAGCGTATCATGAAGTAAGTATTATGCCAAAGCAACTACTTGTAAAATTCATACGGATAAATTATTGAAATAATACTTGCGTTTTCATTACGATCGATACGAATATTTTTTCACGATTATGAAATTGTTCAGGTAACTCTCTCGTGCGTTGCTCCTGCCAGTATCGATCTTTGTGGAAAGCGGAAACAAGAAAGGGAGTAAATTCTTTGTACAAATTCGTAAGTAAGGAAGTAACTTCGCCACTCAACTGGATGCACGAATGTCCCAGCGCCATTTCTCGCAAGATTCCTCCGAGAACTTAATTAATGTCTATGTCAACGACTTTTTTAGTATGAAAAGAGACTTCCCCCGAAATAATGGGAAGCGCGCAGGAAAGATATGGGAACCTCTACCGCACCATACCGTCGTGCACAACGTGACACAAGCCAGGCCAGGCCAGGCTAGGCCTGGTTGGTCGGTGGCCCCGACCAGCCTTCAGGGCCGTAAGCAGATAGCCTGCCTGTCTGTATTGCTTATCTTTCATCTAACCCGGTAAAACTTGACAAATAACACATCCACAATATACAGCGTATAATACACAGCGCAGCGCACGTAAAGAAATAATTAAACGACGCGAGAATGGACAGCGCAATGACATTCTTGCCGATCGATCATATCCCTTTAATTCTTCATCAACAACTGATCCAAAATAGTCTGCCCCCTCGTTTCTCGTCGACTGATTATTATCATTACACGCCGATACCGCGTAGAAGAATGATGATATTATTGAGCGAACGATGAATAAGGCATGTGGTAATGGATTCGTTGCGTGCGATATCGTTCGTTCGCAACCACCAACCAGAAGAAGACGAGCGAAACGACCACCTCTCGTCCTCTTTCGCGATTACTTACAGCCCTGCCATAGTTGTGCAATTGCGATACGAGATACTGGCCACTGGCCGGCCGGCTTGAACGAGAAAACTCAGAGCGCGGGGGTAAGAAAACGGCAACAGCTGTTCGGCCACGGCGAAGAGCCAGGTTCTGAGCTGGACAGCGCGGGGCAGCCAACCCTGCCGTGCGTCGAGTTCCCATGCGACGTGGAAGAGAGACCCCGTCACTCGTGCACGAACAGAATTGACGTTCGGTTGCGAGCGAGTTGGCGAACGAAAAAAAAATCGACAATTGAACCGAGCAAAACTGGCGCTCGGCTGAGTCTCGTTCAAGAAGAGGGATCTAGTCCGTTCTCTCGGAGCGAAGCTCCAAAGCGAGATACATTACCACTCGAAATTCGAAAAGATTGAAATTGCAGCAATTTCCGATGCTACGATGTTTGTTGTCAAATAGATTAGACAATTCGCAAGGCGCCATCGCGGAAATGAGCTCACCCACCGTATCGTGGTTCTGAATAGAAGTGATTAGCACTAGAAATACCGAGCGGTAATTTTTTACCGTTTTCACTTTCAGATTAATATCGTGTTTCTCGTGTAAAAAATACGGTTAGACTGAATGCTCTGTTAGAATAAAGTAGGTATTTTATGAAAAGTCAGAGTATTCCAAAATCCTATTTTTACGCGAGAAACAGGATATTGATTTAAAAAGTGGAGACGTTTAAAAATAATGTTCTAATAATTAAAAACGCGAAATTTCGTAGGATGATGTACACGGAAAGAATACTATAGTTTCTTTTCATTCAATTTTCTTTCTTTCTTTTAATTTTACTATATTTCTCTGATAATAATGTTTATCTTGCTACGGAACATTGCGTAAATTTTGCTGGAAACAAATTTCGCTAGAAACATGACTAATTCTTCAATAGCACATTTCAATTCTCAAAATGTAAGTAGCACATTTGAAATGAAGGTAGAATCAATTATTGCAGAATGTCGACTTATTCCTTCTCTCGATTAGACATTTTTTAGTAATTTTTATTATAAGATTCTCTTCGTGTACGCATACTCTTGTAGGCAGGAAGATTGTCCCTGTAATTTTTGAAGTGAACTTTTGTGAACTCATCCGCCTTGTTCAGTGAAAGGATTCTTCCATTGAGGAACGTGTCTAGAGATAACTATCATCTCGTGAAATTTTCGAAGATTAGCTCGCTTGCATCGATGCAACGTGTGCGGATTCGGTTGCTGCTACTCGAGAAATCAGCAATGACTATATCATGAAGGTGGCGTTTATTATGCGAGACCATGAGTCACCACTACGACGAGGTCTCTTTAGCGTATACTGGGTGACCCGAAATGTACTTTGATCTCCTCGTCCACGCATTCTTCGTCCAACTAACTACGCGAAGTCAACGTCGATGCCGACGGGAATTTTATTAACGACTCTATCGTTCATCCGCGCCGCTCGTTATTCGCGCACTATTGTCTACAGTCAGTGACTTTCGAAGTGAGTTTGCTTTACAATCGGAAGTTAAACTAATTTGCGATTTGAAACTGATGCACGATGACATTGCGTGAAAGCAACCGATCGATAGTCTTCTTTCTCGTTCATCATTGTCGTTGAGGGGAAATTCCGCCGCGCGAGTTGAAGAATTCGCGGAATAGGGGAAAAAAATACACGGGACACCCTGTACATACAAATGTACGCACACGTAAGATTGCGAGAGAGAAAAAACGGACAAATGATAAAATTCGCTTATGACACAGCCACTTACGACGTCACGCGAAGTTCGAAGGAACTCGCGAATTCCACGCCTACGTTAGACGCCGGACATTGACGCTAGGGAAGGACAGGGTACTGTCCTGAGAGAGAGAGAGAGAGAGAGAGAGAGAGAGAGAGAGAGAGAGAGAGAAAGAGAAAGAAAGAAAGAAAGAGAGAGAGAAAGAAAGAGAGAGTGAGAATTGATAGATAGCGGTTATCGAAATTATCGCAGCTTTCGAAATGCTTCATTCAACCAGGTTCACGTAGGGACGCGCTGTCATGGAAGCGACGGGCGTCGCGCGCCGTCGGACGGCATCGCGTCGCGCCGCCTCCGTTCAATTCTTGGATCCTACGAACATCAAACGTCTCTGTCCTGAATATCCTGCCGAGTTCCTAACTCGAAATCTCTCCACTGTGCTCAGACACGTGGGGCGAGTTATGATCACCAACACCTACGGCGACCGGAAAACTCCGAATGAAAAAAAATCGATCTTGAAAATGACAAGAAAAGAAATGATTCGAATAGCCTTTCGTTAAAGATCTGATGATTGGCGTACTCTCGATTATTCTATCGACTTTCGATTCTATCTCGATTGCGTAGCGCGTAACGTTTTGCTCATCGAAATCGACGGGACTAACAAAGTAGAACAAGTATCATCGAATTATCGAAAGCAACGCAACTCTCGCGAGGAAGTAAATTACTCCGCGTATTTCCGCGAGTTGCTGTAAGTGCTTTAAGTGGAATTAAGCTTCTTGGATCCTCACAGCGGCCATCTTAATTTATGATATCACAAACGAGAAAGTACACGTTAAAAATTCTTGCAAAATACGTCAAAATAAAAAGATGTAACTGTAAGATGACGTTCGCAATCGATCGAGTAAATGTGTAAAACACATGTCCGAACGCTTCTCACTTATTTTAATCAATAAATAACCGTAAAATTAACGTGATAAAATCATGTGGAAAAGTAGGTTAAAAAAAGTAGGTTGCGCGTCACACACCTTAATTTTATGACAATTTATTTACTGTTAAAACAAAAGGAAAGCGTCCGGACTATTTTACAGATGTGCTCAGCCGGTTGTAAGTGTCACTTTATGGATATATCTTTTTATTTTAATGTATTTTGTAAGAATTTTTATCGCAAGAATATTTTCTCACCTCTAACGCCATTTTTTCTTTTTAAAAATCGGTCAGACTTGAAGAGGACAAAAGGATTCTTGTCGAATTTTGAGAGCAGAGCTACCACGCAAAACTCAGTGAAACGTTTTACAACTAATCACTTTTAAAGCGATTATATAAGGATTCCTTGGATCCTGCCATTGTCAGGCGTTTAAGACATTCCCTGCTTGAACGCCTAAACTTTTGAGTCATAGAGACGTCCCGCGCCCATGCATTCTAAGGATCAAGTTCAAGATTTAAGATCCAGAACATTTTTGAAGGCCTCGGACATAGAATCTTCGAAAGAATGAAACAATACAAGAAATTATGTAACATTCTAGTTTTCCGAATTCTCAGAGTTTTGAATATTTATATTCGGAGATTCAGATCCTTCGCTTTTGGTGTGCCTCAGGATCTCGGAATTACTAAGCCAGACCAAACACGTCATTTGTCTCGCGAGAACATTGATAACGTCTGATTCGTCGAACGTAATTGTATTTGCAAATCTGACCACACAACTGTTGAAGGATCATCAGATTTAGTTAGTTTTCGAAGACCAGTCTTTATGAATCCTGGAATACTAAACATTCACACAAAAAGGAAAACATTCACCTAAGCATCAGAAGGCTAGAAAACCAACCGATATTTCTTTCGCCGAGTACGATCGCAACTTTGCCCTGAGATTTAATCCTGCCGAGCGGAATCCTTCGAAACATTAGATAAAGATGATCCCTGCGGTTTTATTCTTAGCTTTCTACAACTAATATTCTGCTATTGCTCAATATCACTATGTATTGCCCAAGAAATCAACAACGAGCGAGCACAGAGTCGTCAAGGTTGTCACTCGTCGCTTTCATTCACGATCTGATCCTGGCGACCTTGGAATCGACTAGTCCTCAAGGATATCCCGTACAGTTAGAAGTCCAAGTCCCGAGACTTGAATATCACAACGTGAAACGCCTGCGAATCACCAATCCGCGCCTAAATCGGACCGTCGACATTCGATCTACCAAGTGCGAGAACATCGCTCCCTTCTTTCTCCACTCATTTCCTGACGAAGAATTTGGACCTGATGAAGGACCATCGGACTGATGAATTAGCTGATCTTCAAGCGGCCCTTCGTAGAAGAGCAGCCATCGAACAGTGGTGAAACGTGCTTTCCAGAGGAATCCCTCCGGAGACAAAAAGCGTCGCGAGAGTTGTCCTAGTATCGGCAGGACAAAGGTTCTCGGCAGCAACCGAACAAATAGGAAGCAGAGGAAGACGGGTCGCGACACGAGGTCCTTCCTCTTTTTCTCTCTCTCCCGCACTCTCTCACTTTCTTTCTTTAAGTCTTACCTCTTGGTAGCGTCGAGGAGTACGCCTTGGAAGCACTTGGCGCCGTGAACGAAGGACACCACGAGGATGTCGGGCAGCGCGGAATCGACGGTCACGAGGATCTTGTCGCCCGTAGTGAACGCGAGGAGAGCGGACGGGGCCTCCGCTGCCTCCACAGCCGCCATCTTGCCTCGTTTAGAGTTATTGCGAGCGAGCGAGGCTGGTTAGCGTGTGGTTAGGGGCTCTCCTCCGTGCTCTCTGCTCTCCGCACCGCTCAGCTTTGCTGCGCTCCGTTCTGCACCGCTACGACGGCAAACCGACCGAGAGCAGCGAGCAGCTCGTCGTCTCGTATCCTTCGTGGGCTCGCGGATTGTGCCGCGCCGCTCCGCTTCGCCCCGCGTCGCGACGCTCCGCACCGGTCGTCGTTATCGTCGTCGTCGTTGTCGTTGTCGTCGTCGTCGACGTCGTCGTCGTCGGCGTCGTCGTCGTCGTCGGCGTCGTCGTTGTCGTCGTCGTCGCCGTCGCCGTCGTTGACGTCGTCGTCGTTATCGTCAACGTCGCCGTCGCCGTCGCCGTCGTTGTCGTCGTCGTCGTCGTCGTCGTTCTTTCTCGCTCGCTCGCTCGCTCGGCCCGAAAGCCGGATGACGTGAGGAGCGGCGGCTGTGGCTGCCTCACTTGCCTGCGTGTATGCAGAGGCCATGGGCCGCATGAGGCAGACGGTGAGGCTTTGGAGTCATGATGGTGGTGGGGTGAGGAAGCGGCAGGTGAAGAGGGGAGCGGCGGTGCGGAAGAGCACACCGCCTTGCTTTGCTGGCGGCCGACACAGCTGGCCACCGTCGCCGGTACCGATGCGCATGCGCGTCTTGGAGGCGGATTGTCGTTCAGACTCGTACGCGCAAGGGGTGCCTGAAGGAATCTTCGAAATCTACTTTTGTCCTATCTCTGGTGAACAATGTTACCAACCACGACTCCGCAGCAACCGGAAAAGTGACTTCATTCTTTGATTAATTATGCTCCGACGATTGTCCCCATAATTACTCGTCCGCTTCGAATCTCCTGTTCTTCAGACCTCCGAATTTCGACTGTTATAAGCTGGAGACGTTGTTGCACGTGGACGTTTCCGTCAACAATATTGCTTCAGTGTGAACGCGACATAACTACGATCTGCTTTGCTTGAGGGTTGTGCTGTCGGGTACCAGTAGCGTAGCTAGGAACCTCTTGTGCACCTGTATCGCGCGTTTCTTGGCTTCGACATTCGCCGTATCTCCGGCATTCGCCAACGTTGAAACGGAGCGATCGAGCGCAGCTTCAAAGGAGCTTCAGCGTGCGTTTCACGGTAAGTGACAGTGCTATGTACTCATAAAAGCGTTGCATAATCTCTGCGTGATGACGAATCGCGAATGCGAGAAGACTGGATCTTCGATGGGCTCACAATGCGGCCCTGCGTAGTGACGAAATTACTCTTTTCGGGTTTTTGTTGTGCACGGTTTGATGTAAACGACGACCTTTTAAAGACCAATCAGTCGGATCATGACTGTCGATATGATCAACCCTCTAAGACAGTGCATCTTCCCAAAAATATGGGTCGTCCTTCGATCGTACCTTCTAGGAATGCCAGGAATCGATATCGACGCGAGTGCTAAAAGAGAAACGTGAAACGTGTTAAAAAAAAAAGTGTTGATAATACATATCATACAAGAAGTGCGTGCACGATACTCACAACTTCGTTGTGAGATGTGTCGACACTTGTTAAGCTGTATTCACACCGTGGACGTTGCTATTGACAGCTGGAAATAAGTTGGAGTCGATCAGACAAGCCGTGACATCTCGGTTAGCAATTGTTAATTCCAGTCTCGTTTCTTATCTGTAATAACTACGAATGCGAGCCGCAAATCGACCAAAATCGATTGACAGCTAAAATAACTAAAAATTGAATGTTACTTTGACAGAAAGAGGAGTCGGATTCACCTACATCTAATTCTGGAGAATTAGCGATCTTACGATGACTTACGCCAATTAAACACAATAAAGGAAACTTCACATTCGGTTAATTGTAACAATTTTATCGATTATCGTGTTACGTTTTAATTAATGATTTTATAATAATTTTATAATGATTAACTAACGATAAGTGTGCTTGGGTTCTTGAATCGTGCGCGACTCTGAGTTGCTTTCGAACGATTAGCGCCGTTCGATTGACGCATCGTAACACGGCACTGATAACGTGCAATGTTGTTTATCAACTGAATCGTGACGTAAACAGTTCAACGTCGATGCAACTTTCATGGAATGTTCTCTATTTTGCATACGACTCATTGCTGCAATTTATAATTGAACGTGCGTATGCGTAAATGCGAGAACTCTCGTGATTATTTATGGCTATGTTTAATTCCCGACGTTAGCTGATTTCAGCGAAGTTTCAAGAAATCACGTTTCTTTTTTAAACACTTTACTTTTCAAATAATTTTACAGCTTATTTTCTCGTTTAAATAGCGTTAAAAAAGGCTCGGTGGCTGATGCTAAATAAACACGTTTATCTTCCGCTCGACTACTATTATCGAACGTTTTACGCGCGGAAAATATTGCATAACATCTCGGGGCGACAAAGAGCGAAAATTGTTTCATATATTTTAAAAACACTCAACGCGGCCGCTATTTTCACGCACGGACCCTGCGCGCTAAAACTATAAATATATCCTCATCTTGTCGGGCATCTTGTAATATTACGAAGACATGCACGGGCTCATGCGAAGCATATGAACGCATAAAAATGTCCAACGTCCCGTTTTAAGATGCGGTTGTGCATATATCATTTCCTAAAATATCATCCTCGCAGAGCGCTTCGGGATACTCTGTAGATACGTATTCTTTACCACGCGTACTTATTGAATAGAATTGAATCTATTTCACTTATAAATAACAAACTCATATTTATAATTTATTTCTCTAAATCTCAACAAATTGGACGAGGATACTCAATTTTCAATAAACTGAAAATCGACTTTCGCAACTCGCGTTTATCGACTCTCTCCTGTGTGTCTCACGATATTTATGATGAAAAAACCCCGACTAGATCTGTGCCGGGACGACTTCCTGATCGGGCACGATGACGAGCGACAGACTAGACCTGGACAAGCCGCTGTGGGCTCTCAACACTTTCGTGGGAAGATGGAAGTACTTCGCGTGGATGACCGACTTCCGCACCTGCGTCGTCTCCGAGTCAGAGCTGCTCGCTGCCAAAAACTTGTGCGAGCAGTACAGGTAACGACAAATGAATTTGTTGGATGGCGATATTTTAGGTAGTTCTTGCAAAACCCACTAGCTCGCTCGTCAGAAGACTACGCTCGTTCCAACATTTTCATTGAGAAAAGCTCTGTATGAAGTGACTCATAAAGTTTGTCATTAAAAAGTAATGCGGTAGTAGCGAGATGTGTACACTTTTCTTACTCGATATGCTTTCTCTCTCTCTTTCTCTCTCACTTGAGAATCACTCTACTTTGTAGACTTGGCAACGAGCCAGCCGGCACGACCAGAGAGCAGATCATCTATGCGAAGAAGCTGTATGAGTCGGCTTATCATCCTGACACTGGCGATCTGCAAAACGTCTTCGGCAGGATGTCCTTTCAGGTGCCGGGAGGTATGGCCATCACCGGCGCAATGCTTCAGTTTTACAGGTATTTTCCGTAGACCATCGTAACGTGTCGAGGAACTGATTATTTTCTCGTTATACGTTGCTCGCAGAAAATTCTTCTATTGCCTTATATTAATAGTTCAAAAATACAAAAAATAGTTCAAAAAATACCAACTCAGTTTCTACAATCTTGTTTCTCATCTGTGGTTGTTACCTGCTCTCTTATATATATATATATATATATATATATATATATATATATATATATATATATATATATATATA